GTCTCTTATTTCCACTTTAAATTTGAATTTAATTTTTATTAGTGACTTATATAATATTACTATAATTTAACACTGCATGGAAAGATAAGAAGAGTTGATTAGTTATTATTTTACTTTCTTCTTTGAAAAGGATCGCAACTATATGATCGAAACGTCGTGAAATTAAATAAACGATTTTATCTGCTGGTTTGATCGATTATCTTCATAATTTATAATAAATACTAGTGACTGTAATTAATAATTTGGAATTTATTAATATAAACATTGCTTCATAATTTTAATTAATAAAATAAATTTTGAATAAAAATAAGTCAAATAATTTTAAATTATATTTTTCGGCAACGCTTAAGAAAGAAAATAATTAAATAAAATTTATTTATTCAAAACTGTGTATTAAATAGATATATGTATATACATATATATGTATATCTGTTAGCTGCATGTTTAATTTTCGGCTCGAGAATCCTGAAGCAGAAATATTTTACTTCTATTCTTTAATTACATTTGAAACAAATAAATTTTTAGTATATAAAACTGAATTTATGTAAAAGAAAAGATATAAGTAATACTTCTTCTTCAGACGACGTCCATCTATTGTACAAATCCAATTGTAATAATTGTCGTAATTTATTTACATCTTAGTAATGCAGTCCTTTAACGTTACATATTATATGGACAATATCTTATCAATACATAATATGTATTACATATATATAGATGTTTATGTAATATATATAACTGATTAAATGATATTCATTTAGTAATTTTTTCTTTGTTAAAAGACCGGGGGTAATATTTCAAAATTTTCAATTTTTATTATTCAATAATGCAATATAATTCAATGCACGAATTATGAAGTACATTGTTTATTTGTGATTTATTAACATATATTCTGCTTTTGGAAATAAAGGATAATGTATAATTAAATAAATTATACATGCAATTATTTTCAATATATATATATATATATAAGTAATATTTTTGATATATTTTAAAATTATCAAAAACAAGTATTATATGAAAAGAATAATGTATTTTTATTAACTTGAAAATATAAATGTTTTTTCATATTTTATTTCATCATTCAAAGTAACTTAAAAAAATGTAAACCGTCATAGATATATAAAGTATTTCTCAACTTAACATACGAATTATTAGATTATTATTTAAAAAGTTGAGCACAATTTTCTTTTGCGATAATAATGGTTATATGAAAAGGACTGCATTACTAAGATGTAAATAAATTACGACAATTATTACAATTGGATTTGTACAATAGATAGAGGTCGTCTGAAGAAAAACTATTACTTATATCTTTTCTTTTACATAAATTCAGTTTTATATACTAAAAATTTATTTGTTTAAAATGTAATTAAAGAATAGAAATAAATATTTCTGCTTCAAAATTCTCGAGCCGAAATTCATGATACATTTAGATAATTATTAAGTCGAAACGAAAAAACTGTTATAATTAAGATTTGTAAAATAACAGGGATTGCGATATATTTGTCTTTAATGCCCAAATTATATAAAATTATGTTATATATTAAATAATATAATTTTATATATTATAAATATTAATTCTTATATGTCTTAATATTATGTACTGACAAAAGTTTATTTTTATTTGAAACATATATATATTTAAATATATTGCAAAATTGAGACCTGTAAATATGATATATGTGTTGTATTAATGCAAATAAAATAATGACAATTAGTCTAATTATTAGCTGAAATTTATACAGGTATCATTTTTTAGTTTCTTATATAAGTACGTATATGTATAACATTAGTCGACAAAAATGATTCTTTCTTTAATTCAGAGATTTCCAAATGTGTTTTTGTAGATTTTTTTTGCTGAGTACGAATCCGGCTATGAAAATTGCGTATCACGTTATGTTTTTTAAATATCTTGATCTAAAGATGTGAAAAAGGGCATTTTGGACACTTTTCCGTAAAATATAGCTTTTAATTGAGACGTGATAAAAAGTACTACGACGACTTAAAATAAAATTTATGACTTGTAGTTTATGTAAAAAATGGAAAAAAGATTGAATCTATAAAGAGTTTATTGAAAAAATTAAATTAAAAAATTAAAAATATTATTTTTCGCACTTTTCTTCAGTCTTTAAAGGTTCGGTAGAATGTTTCACTTTACCTCTTTATAAATTCGATCTTTTTCATATTTTTTACATAAATTACAAATTAAGCTTATTTTGCTTAAGCTTTATTTTGAGCCATCGTAGCACTTTTTATCACATCTCAATTAAAAGCTATATTTTACGAAAAATGTTTATAATGCCTTTTTTTGTGTATCCATAGATGTCTAAAAAATGATATCTAAAAAATCTTACGTGATACGCAATTTTCGCGGCCGGATTCGTTAATCAGCATGAAAAAATCTACAAGAGATTAAATTATTTGCCAGTACGGTTGAGAAGAGATTCTGTCTTATTTTTTATTCTTAATTCTTTTGGCGGTCGTGACATATTTGATTAGTGTAATTAATTATTACATAATAAGTTTTTAAATGATGAAGTTAAGTTAAATAATGATTAAAGTGCTGACAATACAATCGCTACCTACGTTTAAATCTTTCAAACGTTGTTATTGTTGAGAAATTAAATATAATTGTAACGCAAATAGATTAACACAAAAAATATAAAATCTCGTGTATAATAACGAAAGTTTTTTAATCCATCGAGATTATGTCGTCTAGGGAAGAGATCCATTTTTTGACTCAACCTTTGGCTTCAGAACACAAACTGACGGAGGAGGAGATGGTTCCTCAGAACCAGAGCTCTGAACCAGGTATGTCCTCTCGCCAACCTTCATTTCATTATGGATTTGTGGCATAGAGCGGATATAACCAACTTCGTTTCCTTATCCGCACTCTTTGCTCCTTCCCGATACCTTTTTTCAGATCTTGAGACTGAAGCTATTCGTTCAATGTCTTCCCTGGATCATCCGCCTTCTATTCCAACACAGGTAGAGTCGGTGACACATATCAACGACACGTTTGACAAGCTTTTCGGTGCCTGCGAGAAATCATCAGCTGTTTCTCCCTGGACTATTCAAGGACTCCTGCTATATTCAACTTCGCTCATTACCTTGCGTTAATTATACTGCAGACGTCTTGTTCTTTATGATTACAAGTAGTAGCGTCAAGCTATGCTCAAATCCACAATGTTCAGAGTATTGAAAAATGTCTCTTATGGACACCGCTTGTTTATCTTCTTCATATTGTTTTTTTGTGCTCAACGATTCGCACATCAGAAAAAGTTTATTAAATAAAATATTTATTTAAATATTGATCACAATGAAGAAAGATAGAAAGGATAGGAAAAGAAGGCATTCTCGATCACGTTCAAGAGACCTAAAAGAAGTACTCATGAAACTGAAGATAAACTGCATCCTCACTCAACTGGTTAAGATTAAGAATAATGAGTCTCAAGATGTACCGAATGATAAAATTTCAGATTCTACGGGTAAAAAATTGAATAATTTATTTAATTTGATGAATGTTTATTCCATACAAATATTACCCTCCCTCCAAAATAAATCAATGAATAAATAATATCTTAAAGTGCTTATTTCATACGAATAATGCATTCCTAATAAAGGAATTAAACATTCGTTACTGAACAAATAGTTCTGCAGATTAATTTCACACGAATGCTGCCTGTGACTTTAATTTTAAAGGATATTATTGTCCTAAGTTTTTTATTTGTAATATGGTTTATTAGCTTTCAGAGAGAAAGTATTCTGATATCGAAAATGAATCTGAGGATATACAGGATTTCGCGGACCTGTTAATGATATTTTTGAAACCAGTGACGCTCAGGTTAGTGTCTCTAAAAATGGGGAAACACAGACCCGACAATGGACTCTGTCATTGATGACGAAATTCTGCAAATATTGAGAGAAGATCCGAATGATGTACCAACAAATTCTGTTAAATTTCATACGGAAATTAAAAACAGATGGAAAGCCTGGATGACAGGAGGTCTACCAGAAGAGACGAGGAAGACATTACTTAAAAATTATCCACGTAATGTTGATTTATACGCAGATCCTCCAAAGATTAATTTAGAGATTGCCGCAGCTTTATCTAAAATTGCCAAGAAAAAGGACCAACATTTTGTTGAAACACAATAATGTGTTGGTTCATCTATTCTCGCCCTTGGAGCAGCAGTATCGATGTTATTCATTGACTCAGAAGAAGAAGTGGATCAGATGAAACCCATTGAATTGTGATGAAATACATTAAATAATAATTTTCCTGCATCACACAGTGATGCTCTAATTTTACCAACTTTCAAGAAATTATTTATGATATTCCGCTTTGTCATTAATAATATTAACACCAACATCTAAAAAAATTAATTAAACATGAATAAAGACGACATGTAAACAAAGATCTAATTATAAATTAAAAATGAGAGATTCCACATTTCTCTTCTTTCTATATACATATAATGAATAAATGTCTCACTAAACATTTAAACACGTTAAATTATAGAAAATTGTAAATTATACATAATCGTTATCTAAAAGCATCACAAAGTTCAATATATTTTTACAGTTGTATATATTATATAATACAATTCATGATCCGTTTTCTATTTCAATTTTACATTTTACTTTGACTAATCTCAAATCTCTTATTTCATGATTCATTATAAACTTTCCAACGAAATTTTTAATTTCAACAACATCTAAAAAAGCAAATTAAACATGAACAAAAATTAAATGTAAACTAAGATCTTATTATATAAATTAGAAAATAAGAGACAGTACATTTCTCTTCATCCTATACATATTTATTGTAATTTATTGATTCTTCGTAAATTTACAAGTATATTAATAACTTAAAATTAATATAAGTAATAAATAAATAATTTCCAACCTCTGTAGTTGTTATTGCGAAGTCGCGAAAGTAATCTGTTTGACTCCTATACTCTCACATATAATCAATAAGACAATTCAAAAATTCCCGCTGTTTATGGAAAAACATCGTGCATTTTTTAAACTACTTGTGACGCTGTAAACAATTAAAATATTATTTTAATCCTTATGAAAATATTTATAATAAAAATTATATACATATGTATGCGTATAAGAAGAAAAGAAAGATTACCGAAAAATGATGATAATGTCGAATTTAATATATCTATACTTACAATTTTAGTCTCCAAAATATTAAGTATTGAGGATAAATAACTATTATATAGCAACGTAGACCAAGTCTTCTAGCCACGCTATGAAATATTGCAAATGTAATGATAGCTTGACCATGTTTACTTTGTAAAATCTGTGCCAGGTGCAATACAGAATAAATTAATTTAAGCGAGAGTATATTAAGAACAATATATAACATATACATATATATAGCCCATAATTATATATGTATTACAATCTATAACTTACATAATTTATACACAAACATTTGATGTCTACATTACGTGAGTAGCTACATGGTCGAAAGTTCATGGTACCAAATATATATTTCTTAAGTGTATCCATAATCTGCGTACTTTCTGTTTCGTTCCAATGATTATCTTCGATATTGTTGCTTTTCCAATAGGAAAAAGTTTCTTCTGACGTGGAGAATATCGAATGGTTCGGATGCTTCACTCTGAGACAAGTCAGTACCTCTTGTGCGATTGTATCCAATGATGCACTTACATTCGTGTAACATACATCTTTTCGAGGTTGAATACGTTGTGCTATGAAAGTACAAATTTCTTCTAAAAGCTGTTCTTTTTCAGGTTTCTCTATATATCTGTCCAACTTATTTCGTATCGAAGATAGCTTTTCATAATGAGACATTTCTATATTGCAATATCTTTCGATTGATTTGCGTTCAATTCTGTTAAAAATTTATATATCGAAGTATTAACTAATGAATAAATACATTAAATTGTGATAATAGTAGCTCTATAATATATATGAAGATATCCTACCGTGGAGATTGTGTAAACGAGCATTTAATCTCCTCAAAATAAAACATACATTTCAGCACATCTATAGGCTTATATATACGTTTAGGAACAAGTTGATTTAAATATTCATCGATTTTACCGCAGAATTTTATTACATTTTCGAATGTTAATACATTAGCAATTGAGTCATCAAAGTAATTTTGATTTGATGTATTATTATAATAATAATCGTAAAAAGGATTAGAGACAAATAATTTCGCAATTGTATCACATAATTTATGCCTTTTGTAACAAAGTTTATGTTTTTCCATCCTTTGTTTCCTTAAGACTTTCATATTTTTTCTTTGCATAGGGCCATCTAAAATACGACCATAAAATACTGTAATAAATTTTTGATAATGATACTTAGTGTTGTGTCAAGATTATTTTAAAATTAGCTAGATAAAGATGAGATAGAAGTATGTAAATTCGTTTTACAATTAGATAGGATAAAGATAATCATCTAGACATTGATCTAGACAAAATATATAATTATATGGCGATATATCTAAATAATTTTTAGATAATAATATTTAAGACTGCTTATGTAAACACAGATATACAAAAATATAAATTATAAAAGGAATACAACAGTATATGTATTTATATATTTATTTATAAATTTATATCGTTTTAAGTATGTCTACTTTAAGTATTTTTAAATGCTATGACTCTACACCAAAATGATCTAAAAATTGTTATAGATAAATTATATAGTAAAGATAATATTTTTTTATCTAAAATGCAGATATATAAATAATTCATATTTTTATTATCTATATGCAAATAAAATGACGCCACAGTTTTTCTATTTAATTTTATTTAGAGAACAAACAGCAAACTTTGATGATAGTAAACAATGTGATTGCACAAGTTATTTTTCAAATTAATAAATTTTTTGAAGTATACAATTCAAAGCATGAGTACATATATGTCACTTCTTTTTATACTTTAATCGAAAAAAGAAAATATATAATAGTCAATTTTAATTTGTAATTTAATTTTACTTTTCAAATTTTGATTTTAATATGTATATTGCATAATTCTATAAGTGTATTCTATATGCAATTAATAAACATTAATGTGCTTATGTGTATGTATGTATATATTAAGTTTTTTTAAATATTTTGTAGAACAATTTGTTCGAAAGCATATTTACAAACAATGTCGACTGTGCTTATATATGTCACTTGGGATGTTTTTACTTTTATAAAGATTTTATAGTGATTTTAATGTTATTTATAAAAAAGAACCGATAGACAAATATCAAATCTGTTTCTATCACGAATATATATCATATATATAATTTTTATATTTAAAAGTGCAATTAAATATATTGAAGAATTTTTATTACACATTATAATAAATAAACCAAGTTACTTTTATGTTATATTTTTAAGAATTAAATCTAAAAAAAAATTATTTAATGACTGAACATTTTTTGACCGATATATATATAGACTAATTAATATTTATTTAATTAATTACACAACGTTTCATATAATTTTTGGCCTTTTCAAGTGTTACTGTTAAGTGTGCGAAAGACTAAAATTATATGGTCGAAACACCGTGGTTAAAACATTGTGTGATTAATTAAATAAATCAATTGACGAATGTCGGTTGAAAAATATTTGGTCTTTTAATTTTTGACAGCATATAATCTATTTTTCTCTATCTGTTTTTATATTATTTAAGTTTTTATTTTTTACACTATATTTTCAATATTTTTTATTTATTTTATATTTATGTTTTACGTTCTTCGCAGAAGTGATGTACATTGTGCGACAGGCGTTAATGAGACAAAATAACAAAAAGATTTACAAATCACAAGAATTATCTCTGAAATAACTTTTTTTCCAAAAACTTGTCATATTTAACTGCATCACGAAATTGCTTGCACACGCATCGAAAGTTGATGATATCTTCAATAGTGAGTACATTATCGTTGAGAATGTGGCTTATCATCTCCTCTGGTAAGCACGTTATCTTACATTCAGACATTATGAGAAACAAAACACAAAAAAGGAATGTAAATTAAAGTGATTGCAATAAACTATTCGCGTAATTAATTCTTTGCTTTTTGCAGTACACGAAATGAGTCTGCCGATTACGAAGAGCACAGATGTGTGTTTGATGTACACGAGAGACGTTTTCTACACTGTAGACGTTCTGTTCTTTATTATAAAATTTAACCTTAAATTTTAAAGCATTATTGCTTGTTTTCACTAAGATATAGGTATAAGGATCTGCCACGGCATGCGCAGAAAATGTAATTTAGAACTAGCAAATTTACCATTTCTTCTATGCGCTTGAAAGATAGAACGTGGTAAATAATTTATTTATTATTTATTTTATTATCACTATTTATTTATTTATTGTTCTTTTTATCATTTTAGTTTAATTAAAATAATATATTTTCAAATTGGTCAATTATTTTAAATTTCATTAGTTTCCATGTATTTATATATATTATGTAATATTTAAGTTTAATGAAAATAATATCGTTCAAATTATAAATTATTTTATTAAATTTTACTAATTTTTATATATTTTTATTTTATACTTTATGATTCTAGTGCTGTGCATTGTGTCGACTTTTTATTTTAATTTGGAGTTGTAATAATTTTGCGTAAATCATGCATGAGAGAGAAATATGGATCGCAAATAATATGAGTTTGGAACAAAAATGAAAAAGTATTTTTACTCAACGCGTGACGTTCATTTTTGTTAAACGCACAAAACTTAACAAACTTTGGCACAGCAAATTTCGAGGGGGTAACCACTTAATGTAATCGTGGGACAGTGTCCTCGAAATCATTATGAAATCTATATGAAATCCTTATGAAATCCCGTGTAATCGTTTGCAATCAGATGTAATTGATAAAGTCAAATGAAATCATGCGGAATCATTAGAAATCATAATCTGTGATGAAATTATGTGTGGCACGAGCACTTTCCGTAGTAAATTGCGATCAAATTCAAGATAAAATGCTATTTATAATTTTATGTGTCACATAAAATCCTAAATGATTACATGTGCAATCACGAAAATGCATTGTGTAATCAGATGAAATCATTACTTTTATGAAATGATTTCATATGTAATGAAAAAAATCCATTTGCAATCAGATGAAATCATTTGTAATCAGATGAAATCATTTATAATCAAATGAAATCGTTTGTAATTAGATGAAATCATGAAATCAAATGAAATCATAAAATCAAATGAAATCATGTAATCTGTGGGACAATATTTTAGCTAGTGGTTACCCCCTCGGCAAATTTAGATGCCCATATGTATTACCAAACATTTCAATGTCTAAATAATATCTTAGCGATATAATTCATATAAATATTCGTATTGTAAATCGAGGTTTTTATTTTAGCTGAGAATTTTATCTGTAAAAATTTGAAAAATGTAAATCTCTCTTTTTCTTTTTCTCGTATCAAAAATATTTTGTAAAATTCTATATAAATTAATAATTTTTATTATATACGATATATAAATTGTATATAGTAAAAATGGTACATGATAAATCTAATGAATATATTAAATTAATGTAACAGTTTAGTTTCAGTGTCTATCAAACTTTTATTAGAACACTCGAACCTTCTGTTTTATTTTTCCAAAATAAATTTATTATTTTTTAGTTAATAATTAATTAATTAAAAATAGAAAAAAAAACACTTAATTGAGAAACACATGCTTAGTGAAGGAACAGCAAATATACTTCACATTTGGGCACAGAATACATTTAATGTCATTCAAAATGTAACATTCTAGTTTCCGTTTCTTCTAAACTTCTGTTAGGACACTCATCTTGTATTTTATTTTTCAAAAATAAATTTATTAATTTTACAATAACATTTCTTCAGTAATCGAGCTATTTAATCGACTTATAATTCTCTATATCACGTTATGCAATAGTTTTCACCCCGTATATACGCGCAAGTAAAACCACATAAAATTGTCGAATGTTCTTCAAATATGTACATTATTTATTAAAAAAATAAAGATAGACAGGGAGAGAGAGAGAAAGAAAGATTGAAATATATTTCATAGTATAAATAATGTCGTAACAATACTAATAATTCGTATAAATATTCGTATTTATAAATTAACATTAAAGCACGCGCTCCGTACGTGCTGCGTGCGATGACCTTGGCCGCGCTGATAGCTGACAGCGCGCGACTGCGCAGTTCGAGTCGAGCTACCGCCGCGGTCGGACAATCTCGCGCGCGTCGCGCGTTTTCTCGCATCTGTCGTGTATTTTGTCGCGAGTCGAGTGATAGACGCGTGCGGAAGTACGGGACACGCGTGGCGATTGATATGTCGATTGAATCGCGATTGGAACGATGTGAAAATACGTCGCGGGTTTCGTTAATAAAGTTGAAAGTAAACTTTTTCAAACGCGACGTGTGCGCCGCGTACCGTAGTCAGTGTTCTCAACAGTGCAACCGGAAAGTGCGCGAGTAGCTGTCAGTGGTGCCACGTGTCAAACGTGAAAATCGCGCAGTCGCGAAAAGGAGCGAGAAAGTCGTTCGTCGTCGAGTGAAGTTTTT